GAAAGACTCATCCTGGCTGAAAAAGGTCCTTTAACATGTCACTGGTTGCTAGAGTTTTGCTCTCTTTAGATGTTCCCTCCAAATCACTTCTCATATTTACTTTTGAGATGCTCCCATCTCATTATGCTGTATTGCATAATGTCCTTGGCCTACAAAAGCAGGTTGTATACAAAAGCCTAGGGCCATTGTGTAAAGGAAAAGAGGTAGGGTGGACCCTCTTCAACCCTTTCCTTCTCTGCAGGGCTTTGCATTCCTAAGGATGGGCCCCTCCTCTGCTTGGGGATGTTACCTAAATCATGAAATGATATTACTCAAAGCAATGGAACTTCAAAAGCATTTCCTTCCCAGTCCCTACTATAAGATTTTTTTTGGCATAAACCGCTCATTGTAATATATTAAGTATCAGACTTTTGATGACTTGTCATACTTAAGTCATAAAACTACAGAACACTTTTGAGTTTTCAAAATGGCTTTGTTATGCTAAGAGCTGCATGTAGGAGTACAGGCAACTCCCTCGCTTTCCTTCTCCACATAACACCTGCTTTATCAGCTTTAAAAGGTAGAGCCTGGTCACTGACTTATCTGACATCATCTAGTAGTTGAAATCATCCTGTTACTGTAAACACTTTGCTTTCCTAGTGATGATTATATCATCTCTTTCTCCCTTGTAGCAATTCTGGTAGGGAAGGTACAAAGAGGAATCAACAGTAGAGCCAAGTTAGAAATAAGAGGGAGAGAAACACTTAAGAATCAGAAACTCCGATGAGTATGGTAAAAATTGTTACTTTTAGAGCACAGCAGTCATTTCATTTAATTCACATTCAGTCTGGAAACTTTATCTTTCTCAATTCAAAATTGGCATTATAATCCAAAGGAAAACTGAACTGAAATCTTTAACAGATTAGTACCAGTGCCCCAAGTAGTGTTTACCATGCCTTTCCTTATTCGGTTCTCACGAGAATCCCACGTTCTAGGGACTATGAGAAAAATGAAGTGATTACTGACGTGGAATGGGGCTGGGGAAACTTTAACTTTTTATTCCATACATTCCTAAGTCATTTGAATTTTTTTTTACATCAATCATGTCATTTAGAACAAAAAATCCCATTTCCTTCTGAGCTAAGTATAAACTTGTCACCTTGGCCTTCAAGGTATTTAACAAATATGGCCCTAGATTCCTTTTCAATTTTGATCCACTACTTCCCTACGGTGTACTGTTGCCTTATATTCTTAGCAAACTATCCCACAGAGCTCTCTTAACCAACTTAACTGACAACACACTGGCTGGGCTATTCTCCAATAGGCAACATTTCTGGTCTCCCCCTCAGTGAAGTTGTATGTTTATCAAGGCTGTCAGCTGCCTTTGTTCACAAACCAATTTATGCCAGTTGTGTTTATTATTGTAAATATGTGATTTAATTATTATGTAAAGCAATGAAGTATAAACTAGAAAAGAAAAATGATACCAACAGTTGAGTACCTACACCCTGCCATACATTATTCTAAGTGCTTTACATGAATTAACTCGTATAATCTTCACAAGAACCCTATGAAATGGAAACTATAATTATCCCTATTTTACAAAGGCAGAAACTGAGCAAATTGCCCAAGGTCTATACAACTAATAAAGCACAAAGCAATTTGGCTCCAGAGCTTAAGAATTTAACTACTATACTACATAGCCTCTCTAGTAGTTGTTTCTATAAAAATCATGTTGAATGCTTTAGAAAGACTAGATAAAGGTGAGTCACACAGATAACACACAAGTTTGCTTGGTATGGGAGAGACAACTGTAAAGGTTAGGGGGAAATTTCATAAACACCTAGAAAGATTGTGCACTCAGACTGCTTTATAAGTGAATTTATTCATTCCGTGTTAAAGATACTATAGATGATATAGACCAGGGGTTGGCAAACTCTGTAAAGGGCCAAATGGTAAACATTTTAGATGTTGTGGGCCATGAGGTTTCTGTTGCAACTACTCAACTCTGCTACATAGGGCGACAGTAGCTATAGACAATATGCAAATGAATGAGCAGGGCTGTGTTACAATAAAATTTTATTTACAAAAACAGGTAAGCAGACTGGAATAAGATTTGGCTTACAGGCTATAGTCTGTTGATCCCACACTCCAAGAAAAGGCTAAGGCCTTATGAAAAAAGAATGGCAAAAGAATGTTTATGTTTTCAGTTAAAATAAAATGCTTAAGAAATGTATGTACCTAATATCTGTATGATTCCCTGCTTTAACTTACTTTTTCAGTTAACCAACTAATGGCTCTAACTTTGTCTGCTTTCAGTGACTAAGTGAATAGAACGTTGTATCTATCCCCCAGAACCTATATTTTAATTCGTATGCCTATCACCACACCTCTGATATAACTTAGTTTTAATTTTAAACTATTAACTTTAAAAAGCATTCACTCATATAGATTAGTATGGGTGTACTTGTATATACAGATTGTCATCTCTGTCATAAAATTGCTGATAATTTGAAAGGAATTGTTAAAACTGCTGCTTCCCCGTCAAACTTCAGGAGGTCAATGAATTTTATGAATATAACTAGAAGTTGTATACTTAAGTGAAACAAATAAACAAAAATGGTTGATTCAAACTTGAGATCAAAGTTGTGCCTTACTTAACTTTGTATCCCCAGCAGTACTCAGTAGATGTCTTGGTCTAATCTACTCCTTTCACAACGTGTTTAGGGTGCCTGGCCCAAGCTCAGAGTGAATTAGAAGGCCTGGGACAAGAATTCAGGTTTCTTGATTCCTAGTCCCACATTACCAATCTGAAGATATACTAATTCAGGAAGACAATGGCTTTTTAGGTGTACTCAACCCTGCAGTTCAAAGTCTGAGGAAGACTCACCATCTTTCCCTTCCTCATGCTGCCAGTGAGAATCAGCAGCTGTGTTCCCACACATCTGGGCATGCACATTTGAGATGTTCCAATCACCAAAAAGGCTACTAACATCCAGGATAAAAACACCTCCACCCAAGAATGCAAGATAAGAGCTCAAATGTTCCCTTAGCATTTTTTTTAAAGCACCACTCAGATGTTTCAGTGCTGCAATGACAATGACCAGTACTGGGGAGAGGGGTTAGAAAGCGCTATGGCACTTAATCTAGTTCACCCCCCCATACCCCCAGGTAACCAAGTCAAGTTCACACTCTAAAAAGACCTACTGCAATAGGTTCCAGTTCTAGTGTTAGATTCCAGGTGCACCATTGCAACTGTCAGCCCTCACTACTTTAACCATCTCAATCTATATAGTAAACACAAGAAGCAGACCAATAGCCCTATCCTCAGTTAAACAGAGGAATAATTTACTTACAAAAATTATAGTTACATATAACATTTCTAGCCATTCTATTCCCCTCTTCTCCCTCACCTGGAGCTTTAGACAGTGGTACTATCACCTTCAAGTAACAAAAGAGACTAAGCAACCCACAGAGTTCACAGCCAGTACAGCATTTTTACCTTTCTGGAAGCTACCTATAAAAGTCAAGAACTCTCACTGGGCTCTCTGGGTCGCACGGGGAAAAAAATCTGAAAATCGTAAATTAAGGAATAATGGAGCAAGGATGAATTTCATTATCCAATCTAATAAAGAATTATGAGACCCCATTATGGGCATGAAGGCTTACAGTTTAGTAGTATGCAAACTATAATAAAAAGCAGAACAGGGGATATGCCAAGAGGTGCAAAGTTCTCTGGGAGGGAGCTACCAATCACTTCACTTCAATTTCATGCAAACAGATTAAAACATTCAGGTAGGAGACACCTGTAGTAACAACCTGATGGTGAGGGGAAGCCCTGAGTGTAAGAACTCCAGTGAGATCTGTGGAAATGGAAGCTACCCTGGGACACTATCTGCTTGTCTGCACCTTGGCTAAGTCAGGCCTACCCCAAGTCTGTTCTAAGAATGATACCAGGTTAACCAAAGAAATACTTACGTAAGATACAGAGAGGGTAGAAATTGGAGGCAGAGGAGTCGGCAACAACCGATGTTGATTTAGGACTGTCGCAAGAAGATTCAGCAAAATACAGGCCAAGGTTGTGGCTAGGCATTTTCTGCCTCCCAAGTTTGCTCCTTTCCATCAGCCACCCCAGAATATCTTGGCTTTCCTGCACCTCACCTGTGCGGCATACAGGTGGACTCTAGAAAGGGGACTTTCCTCAAGATGTATGCCACAGTCTAGCAACAACCACTCTGTAAGGGCACACAGTGTTTAATTAAGGGCTGGTAAGGTTCTTGTTCGCCCATCAGCTAAGACCTGAATCAAATGACCAGGAGTCCAGTCTCAGTCTGCCCTTTATTCTGAGTGACCTCGGACTAGTCACCCAAGTGCTTAGTTCCTTCCTTTCCCTAACTGTAAATTCCGAGATTACAAGAAGATCGGGATGGAATTCGACGACCTCTGAGGTCTAAAAGCTTCTGGGCCAGCCGGCACGTAGGAGCACAAATGGCCCGTTGCCCAGACAGGGAAACTGAGGCACCGAGCACCCGGCCCCAAGGTCACTCCAGGGGCCAGGCCCAAGCTCAGGTCTCCAATCTTCCAGTCCCGGGCTCCTTCACCTTCCGCTGAGCTGAGAAGAGCGGCAAGGAGGGTCCTTGTCTTGGAGGGAAAGAACGGTGCCAATGCCAGGGTTGCAAGAGGGGACAGGGGGGCACTTACCTTCCCAGGTCGAGTCCAGCCACTGGCGCCTCCCTCTCAGAATCTTAACCTCACCCCTTCACGACTCCTCAGAAGCCCCCTCCACTTCTGCCCGGCTCGACGTGTCCACGACCGCCACCTAGGCCGAAGATGCCTGCCCCTTCCCCGCCCACTGCCTCTCTGACCAATTCCCGCGCAGGACTTTGGAGCCCCGCCTCCTCTGAGGGCTGGAGAGGCCTGACGTCACGCGGCGCGCGTACCCGCGCGAACCTCTCATTTGCCTTTGCCCCACCTTCTCCAGAGCCTAGACTACTTTCGGCGGGGCAACCGTATGAGAGTTCGACCTGACGGCAAGCAGCACGCTGTCGCGGCATTTTACGACGTCAGCGGTGACAGGCCCCGGGGCCTTGGGAACATTCAGCTTCCTCCCTGCATCCCGGTGAAAGCCAACGCGATGTTCGGTGCTGGGGACGAGGACGACACCGACTTCCTCTCGCCCAGCGGCGGGTGAGTGACTGAGAAGCGTGAGCCACAGGGCGGATCGTTGGAGGGAGTTGATCTCTTCTCAGGCCTCTTCTCAACTTCCGGATCCTAACCCTTGCCACATTCCGGTGCTGTACACTTCTCAGAATCTGGACAGGGCACGCAACTGTGCTGAGTTTGTTGATGTCACCTTTAGTGCTTTACATTCTTCCACAGTCCCAGGCAGAATAAATTGCTTTATCTTTATTCCCATAGCTCGGCATGTTTGCCTCTATTCTTGCATACCGAACCTACTAGATTATGAGCCTTCACAGGACAGAGATTGCTTATGTTGTTCGCCTCTGTCTAGCGCTCAGCACTGTACCTGGCGCATAGTGCTCAGGAAGTGCATGTTTAATGAATAATAGCTGCGAAATTGCACTTCGTAAACTCTAAAGCTTAAAACCAATGTAAGAGACTTTGGTCATTATCCTCTGCCCTCAAACATTATATATATCAGCTTGGGATAGAATTTTTCAAAGAGATGCTGGGTTTTGTCTCTTCCAGTAATCAGTTTAGCCTTTTCCATTTTTTTGTCAGTGGACAGCTTGACCCCCTCCAAACTTGTGAGCTGCCAAGCTCTAATCCCTGCAGAGCCTTTCTTTGAACATCTGCTTAACAAATTTTGTGCATTCTGAATGATGTACTGAAAAATGACAAATACACTAACATGTGCCCCTCATTCTGCTAAATGCTAAGAGGTTACAAAGATGATTAAGTTTCCGTACTCTGCCCTCGAGTTGCTTCCAGGTCTTTTGGAGGGGTCAGTATGTGAATGACCATGAAGTGACACTGGCTTTCTTTTGGTCTTAAATAGGATCTTTTAACTTAAACTAACTAGCTCTGTATTGCCTATCCTTAAGTCTTCTTTTCACTCTTACTATGCAGTTCCACCCCAACCCCTATGTTAGATGGCCCACATTCATTTAGTTCCACTTTGAATTCTTTCATTACTCATTTATTTTAGAATTAAATCTGTGTTTTGGTTCCTTTTCCCCCCATTCCACCCAAAACATTCATTAACATCTCCACACCTTCCAGCCTCCCTGCCACTGTTGACTCTGTAGTCAGCCTTTTGAATTAATGATTCTTCCTACAAACCTGTTCTGTGTATAGCTGTGTATTCGGCCACTGTATAAAATTTCCAAGGTATACTTTAAATTCATATTCCTAACTGTGTGAAAGTATTTGGGGGAAGTCTGTAAAGGAATGTTAAGTCCTCAACTTACATGCAACAAGCAGTCCCAGCTGACTGAAAATTACTGGGTAGGTAATGACAGTCATGTGCTCTTTTCCAGATTTCCTGGCCCAAGATAAGTTCTTGGTGGCTCACCAATTCTTCTTTCCTGAGCAGGCTTATCAAGGATCTGAGACACTTTAATTGTAGGCATGTGACTGTGCTCCTAGACATAAACCACAACTAATTTGATAAAAGACTCAGCAGAGAAAGTTATAATTTATTTTTGTTTTTAAAAATAGCCAGGAAAACAGAATCAAATTTAAGATTGAGAATATGGAAAGTTTCACTAGCATTCTCTGATTTAGCTATTCCTTCTTTTGTTTTCTCTAAGGAAGTAGGACATATGACAGTGAACACTGCAGCTGCTTTTTGGTTCCTCTTTTATAATTGTACTTTACTGTAAATATACTTGTTTAAGTTTCAAGTCTCTGGATTTAAACATATAACTTACTTGATTCCATTAAGGATATTCAGGTCTAATAGAAGTGGGAGTATCTAGATGACTGATAATCTGCCTTCTGAGTTTCTGGGCTTCTTAATATCCATGGTTAACCTAGTAGTGGTAATCAGGAGGCTTGCTTTTTTTGTTTGTTTTTGTTTTAACCTGTTCCCCACCATTGTGTCTTTGAAATGAAGAAACATGTGAATGCCTGCTAAGCACATGGTACTTGGCTTCAGCAAATACAAATAGGAATAAGGCACAGCCCTTAAGAAACTTCCATTTTAGTAGTACAGTAAAATCAATCCAGTAGTAGTCATCCCAAAGCATTTTAAGGGGCCAGTTTTATATATAATACTCACACTTGTTTTAGATAATATAACAGGTATATGTAAGCAAATCTGATTAGCATAGTAATGATAAATCACCAGCGTGGAGATGGAAAAAAGATAAATTCAGAACTGATCATCAGAAAGCATTTTAAGTTCTGTAAAAGAAATGGAAAAGTCCAGATTCTAATGTTGATGGCCCCCAGTTAGGAGTGTGACTTTGGACAAGTCACTTCCCATTCTTGTCCCTCCATGCCCCAACCTATTAAATAATGAAATTTGTCCTAGATGATCTTTGAGACCTTTCCCACTTCCTTTTTTTTTGTATTTATGCTAATATCAGTTACAGGTCAGTTTGTGCATAAATCACACATGCTTCCTCCCTTATAGGGGTATCCGAGTTGAATGGGCATCTTAAAGGTAGTAGGATGTGTTCACAAGTATATAAAACATGGATTGTATGCATGCTCACTACCAGCTACTATTCTAAGGTATATATATACATTATTGTATTTATTCTTCTCATCTGCTTTATGGGGTATTTTTAACTATTATATCCATTTTACAAATGGGAAAGGTTCAGAGTGGTAAGTTGCCCAAGGCCACACAGCTAGAAAGTAATAGAGCTTGTATTTCAAATCAGATAGGCAGATTCCACCAGACCTGCCCATGTGCCATTATTATTGCTATTGAAGTTGCTGTTTAATGCCACAATTCATTAGAAGAGTACTTTACCAACAAAAGAATCCAGGTTTATTAAAATATATTGATACAGTGTTTTTGTTTTTGATGAGAAAGAAAAGGATTATAAAACTGAGGTGAGATAAGGACCTTGGTAACTAAATGCATTGGCTAACATTTATTTTTAAAATGTAACTAATGCTGTTGTGACTTTTCCCATGAATTATAAACATAGAGACTCAAGTCCAAAGTTGTTAGCAAGCCTATTCTTGCTAACTAATATAATTAGAAGATTATATACATTTGAGAGCACCTTAGAAGTGGAAAAATGTAATAATTTACAAGAAACTTACCCCTCTAAGTCAGTATAGAGTCCATTTAAAATATTAATAGGAAATGGAATTAATCTGAAAGATAATAGGTTGATCTGGCTTTTGGATTGATTTTGCAATCATTAGTTTGCTGGCCTTTAGAACATCTATGGAAGCAGAGTTTACTTATAATACTTTTGTCTTTCCTTCAAAAAAGGATATACCCACAAAATTGGATCAGCAAACCTAATACCCATGGTTTACTAAAGCTAACAAGGTCATTCTTTTCTTATTATCTATGCATAGGCTCTTATATCTTAACTAGATGCTAAGATTTGTACCTTTTCACTGTGTTAAAGACATGGCCCAACTCTTCCAAAATCTTACTCCTTTATGGAATCTTCCTGGATTGTCCTGCCTAAAAGGAGAAATCTTGGTCTGTTCTTCTGTATTCCATTAGCATTTGTCGATGTCTTACTTAGGCCAGCACTGCTCTCCCTCAAGTATTACATTTGCAATCTCATTTAAGCCTCTCAGTCCTTGAAAGTAGGCATTTTGGGCCTATTTTCAGAAAACTTAAAGGAAACTTATAGTAGACCACTTTGAGAAAACAAGGTAATAGTTTCAAATCATATTAAATTTATTTTTCAAAATGTTAATATGTATTTATATATATATAAATTGGTTTTTTTTTTAAACCATGAAAGTTGTTGTAAAGTTTCAATGTTTACTTCATCTAAAGGATGCCTTGGAGAAGAGGGTTTCAGAGATAGACTAGACTTTGAGTACATTTATTGAGACTATTATACCAGACCCTGGGCAAAATACAGGCATACCTCATTTTCTTGCACTTTGCTTTATGGTACCTCACAGATATTGTGTATTTTACAAATTGAAGGCTTGTGACAACCCTGCGTTGAGCAAGTCTGTTGACACCACTTTTCCAATAGCATGTGCTCACTTCATGTCTCTGTGTCACATTTTGGTAATTCTTGCAATATTTCAAACTTTCTATTATTATTATTTTTGTTATGGTGATCTGTGATCAGTTATCTTTGATGTTACTATTATGATTATTTTAGGGCTCCACAAACCATACTCATAAGACAGCAAATTTAATTGATAAATGTTGTGTGTGTGCTAACTGCTCCACTGACCAGCTGTTCCCCCATCTCTTTCCCACTACTCAGGCTTACCTATCCCCTGAGACTCAACAGTATTGAAATTAGGCCAATTAATAACCCTACAGTGGTTTTAAGCGTTCAAGTGAATGAAAGAGTTGCACATCTCTCACTTTAAATCAAAAGGTAGAAATGATTAAGCTTAGTGAGGAAGGCATGTTGAAAGCCAATATAAGCCAAAAGCTAGGCCTCTCATGCCAAACAGGAAAGTTGTGAATGCAAAGGAAAAGTTCTTGAAGGAAATGAAAAGTGCCACTCCAGTGAACACATGAATGATAAGAAAATGAAACAGCCTTATTGCTGGTCTGGAGAAAGTTTTAGTGGTCTGGATGGAAGATCAATCCAGCCACAAATATTCCCTTAAGTCAAAGGCTAATCCAGAGCAAGGCCCTAGCTCCCTTCTATTCTGTGAAGGCTGAGAAAGGTGAGGAAGCTGTGGAAGAAAAGTTTAAAGCTAGCAAGACCCTCCACCAGCAAAAAGATTATGATTTGCTGAAAACTCAGATAATTATTAGCATTTTTTAGCAATAAAGTACTTTTAAATTAAGGTACGTACATTGTTTTTTTTAGATATAATGCTACTGCACACTTAATAGATTCCAGTATCATATAAACATAACTTTTATGTGTACTGGAAAACCAAAAAATTGTGATTCACTTTATTGCAATATTTGCTTTATTATAGTAATGTGGAACTGAACCCACAATATCTCTGAGGTATGCCTGAATACAGTCAAGTGGTGATTGCAGTAAATAATCAATTAGCATGCCGTGTGATGAATGATTGAGTTCTATTAATCTGTATGGAGTACAGCTCCATACAACTGCCCCTGTTATATATCTCATATTACAGTTTACAATTATATATTACTTAATGTCTCATTCCCTCATTAGATTATAAACTCCTTGAAAGTAAAATGCAGTTTTGCCCACCAGTGTATACTTAGCACAATGTCTGACATATTCCTTGAATGAATGAAGTAAAGAGAACTATGGGAGTACCTAAGAAGATCATCTAACCTAGACTTTGAGATTAGGGGCAAATCTCAGGGGACAGGAAGAACAAGAAGAATGTTTCAGGCAGAGGGAACAGTATTTCCAAAGGCTGAAGATGTAAAAGATCTTGCTTTCTTTGAGAAACTAACAGTTCCTCAGGGTGGCTGTAGCACTCAGTTGGAAGTGAGAAATGGCCAGATATGAAGCTGGGGAAGTAAGGAGAGGTGAGGTCTTGAAGGGCCTTGTAAAGCTGTCTTGTGGAGTTTGTATTTTTATCTTGGTAATATTGAGGTGTCATTGAAGGTTTTAAGGAGGAGAAAGACTTGTTTAAATTTGGTTTTTAGAAAGACCACTGTGAGTGATCAAGGGAAGTCAAGGGAAGAGTCTGAAGAACAACAGATTAATTGACAGTGTAAAAAGGTGGCATGAGGTCAAGTAAGATAAGGAGTGATAAACTGGGTTTAGTGACAAAGAGGTTATTGGTGATCTTCGCAAGAGCAGTTTCAGTGAAATGATGGGGGCGTGATACAAGGGATGATAAAAGAATGGTCCTACCTGTTAGATGACATGATAGGGACCGTGTTTGATAGGTAAGTTTGTAGTATAGTTTCATTTTAATTTAATAAACTAGTAAGAATCAGGAGGGGGAGTAATCAATAGGGGCGACTAGAAACTATGATTTGCTAAAAGCAAAAATTTACAGTTTGAAGAAACCATAGAGAGCATCTAGACTAATCACCTCAATTTACAAATGGAGAAACTGAGGTCTAGAAAGAAGAAATGCCTTGACCAAAGTCTTATGGATGAGCAGGGTCAGATGATGATGTTCCGATCAGATATACAATCTTGATTTCAAAGACACTTAGCTGCTATTTCCAGTATTGAATGGTGAGATATACGGTCAAGGAGGTATTCGTTCAAGGTTGGAGATAAGCTGTTTTTATAATGATTCCAATGTGGGATATGTCAATCAAATTTCATTTTCTACTAACAGTGCCAGATTGGCCTCTCTTTTTGGATTGGATCAGGCAGCTGCTGGCCATGGAAACGAATTCTTCCAGTACACAGCCCCAAAGCAGCCTAAGAAAAGCCAGGGAACAGCAGCAACAGGTAAGTAGGGTTGTACCTTAACAGATTGGTTGAAAGGGTAGGCAGCCTTCTAAAAGTGACATGCCAAGTCATCTGTCCTTGACCAGTCTGGCTAATCTCACCACCAATGTTGGATGCCTTTCTAAGATCTGGGATCCTGAATTGCAGCAACTAGATTGTATGCCTTTGTTGGGAACTGATCGAGAAGGTCATAGGCAAGCTCTTCTGCCTCATGTGGACACCACTCTCTAAAACTGCCCAAGACACTCTGAGTAGGCACTGTGCAATGTTTTGGCAATAAGGAAGAAGTACTTTTCAGTTCTTTCACCTGGATGAGTTGAGTTAGCTATAGGCTGACTGAATTTTTCCCAACTAGACAGTTACATGCATTGCTGTATCCCTTGTACCTTTCACTGTGATGGACACGATGGACATTAATTGAATGAACATTTGTTCAGTGAAAAGGAGAGAAGGGACTAATATTTTTAAAATACCTGCTGCATGTCTGGTCTTGGGTGCTTTACATAAATTGTCTTATTTCATTCACAACCATTCTGTGAAATAGGTGCAACCACCACCATTTTAGAGGCTCAGAGAGTTTAAGGAATTTGATCAAGTTCAGACAGAGTTGAAATTTAAACTCTGATCTGACTGACTCCAAATCTTTTATTCCTTTCGCTATACTTCACTGTCTTTGTGTAAGAACCTAAAGAGGAGTAAGGGACAGATACTAATAGTCCTGAGAAGGACAGGGAGTGAGGAACATTAAATTAAATATTTGTTAAATGAAGATAAACCATTGAGTGCATTTTACAGGCTAGGCAGAGTGCTGGCACTGAGGATATTTGTCAAGATATTTAGAGTTGACTAGTTGCAATAGATGCCATGTGGCCCATGAAACAGGATAAAAGAAACCATTTCCCCCTTTATGCTCTGCTCTCTACTCACTCATGGCACACTTCTGTGACCCTGGATGTGGGGGCGGGGCTTTCCCCGCACACCAAGGAGTTCTCCAGCAGACACCAACTGGGTATCCCATAATTCAGTTTAATTCTGATGCCTTCTACCTGGAGACAGTGTGGGATACTTCAGATCCCACAGATTGAGGGCTCGGTTCTACAAGACTGGCCCCATTTCAAATGCCAATTACAAGTCCGGTCACTTGTACTTCTGACCGACTGGCTACAAACCAGGATTCCTACTGCCCCCTCCTTGGATTTGATTAATTTGCTAGGAGGACTCACAGAACCCAGGGAAACATTTTCATACCTTTGCCGGCTTATTATAAAGGATTTTGTGAAGGATACAGATGAACAGCCAGTTGAAGAGATCAGGAGGGTGAGGTATGGGGGAAGGGTGGAGCTTCCGTGCCCTCTCTGGGTGCCTCCCAGCACCTCCATGTGGTCAGCAACCCAGAAATTCATCAAATCTCATCATCAGAGTTTTTATAGAACTTGATTCCCCTCCGCTCCCTTTCCTGGAGGCCAGTGAGTAGGGCTGAAAGTTCTAACCCTCTAATCCTCTAATCACTTTGTCTTTCTGGTGATTGGCTACTTCCTGAGGCTGTCTAGGAGTCCCTCTCTAAGTCATCTCATTAGCATTGTTAAAAGACAAAATTATAACAAATTTAGTTTTAAGATCTTACTTGGCTTTCATGTACAATTCTAGAATTGGGCAATACCTTATTCTATGAAATAGAATGTTCCAATGAGCTGAACGAGGAAGTGGGCTTTATAGGCAGAAAAGGGCTAAAGAAAGCAGAAACAGAACAAAAAAACTATTGGTCATTTCAAAGTTTCTTTCCTTGTACAGGTTAAGGCGGAGGGGAGTTTCTTATCATGCTGGCTAAAACTGGTTTATTTGGGGATTTGGCTATTATCTCTCTCTCTCTCTCTCTCCTAATTTCTTGGAAGGTCAGATAAACAACTTAGTTTTGGCTTGGTCATGTGGAACTTTAGAATGAGTAACTCCATTTTGATTTGGTCTGTTGGGCCTGGTGCAAGAGCTCAGTCCAAACCAATGGCCTCCTTTAAATTTTATAATATTTAAAAACATAAACTCAGGTATAATCAAAAGGGCCTAAAACAAAAGAAACTGCTATCACTC